GTCTAGCGCATACAGAAGTATAATAGAGCCTTAGCGTACAGTGTATCTTCTTTATCCCACATACGAGATGCGCACTATGTTCACATCCAGATTTCTGTATGCGACATTTAAAAGAAGATAATGTGCTATACGCTAAGGCTCTAATGCAAAAACTTAAATAATTTATATGGTAAGTTATTCAGAATAAGTTGTCTTCAAAAACGTCTTCAAAGAGCGAGTTATAATGAAACTTAACCACATCATGTTCTCGAAGAAAAGTCCGAGTAAAACACGATTTAACCAGGACAGAGAAAAGGACTGCAAAATGGGGGAGAGACTATGCATCATTTTCTTGCAGCAAGTGCCTGAGATAAGCGCATAGTTTTAATCAATCGTTATGTAAAGAAAATTAGCTAAGAAAACCATAGTCTTTCATGGTTGGTGCCGTTTCGAATAAAGCTACTCATCTCAAAAGTCTCCAGTTGGTAATTCAGGATGGACTTTGACTTTTTATATTTAAAACAGGTTATTTTTCGAAAATCGCCTGTGCATTTTTCAATACTTTAGTTTCGAATGCTATCAGGAAAATTTCTCCATTCTGGAAGAATAAAACTTACATCAGTTGAACACCGAGTCTATGTATCCTTAATGGAGAAAAGAAAGACAGAAACACGCAGACGTCTTTTTTGCACGAAGTCTAGAACACCACTCCAATACGCTAGTGGTGTCAGTTGATTCGTCGGTTGTGTCGCTGGATACGATGTAATAACGTAACCGGATGGCTGTGGTGATGGTACATAACACCGTTCACAATGATCGTGATGGTATGCGTTACACATCTTGCGTAGGAGAAATTTCACATTTTTTAGCAGGTAAGAATGAAGTTGCTTTTTTACCTTTTTATTTTATCATGTATCTCACTCTTTCTTCTTTGTTTCCAAAATACGAGATTTTACTCATTTTTTGTTGTGTGTAACTACACATTCGTGGTCATCTCACCCTGTACAATTTGTTGCAAAAGAGTAAAAGAGAGATTTCTCTTGTTTTGCGCAGATCCACTTTGTTTGTCATCTAAAAGTCGCAGATTTTTGGTATTCTTACAAGAAATGCGATCAAAGAATAAAAAAGAATTTTCCGGCTGGCTCACGGTGCAGACAGCCATTTCTGATGTTATCAGAATGAATAGACAGAACGAAAAACAGAATATTCGTGTATAGTATGTATTGAACATTGATTTGCACGGACAGTTAGATTTTAGTGTCAATGTTCATTTATTCTTCAATTATTCTTCATTTACTCGCTTGCTCCGACCAGGGACTGTTGTGGACACGAATTTCGCGTCCATGGGCGTCCATGGACGGACAGTTGCGTCTATGAGCGTCCATGGATAGCACCTTAAAAACCAGTTACGTCCATGGGC